TAGATGGATTGGTACAACAAAACAGTTTCACAGGTAGCTAAAGGAGGGAGCCCCAACTTTGGGCTGTCTTTAAGCTGTTTCTTAAGCATTATTGCTTGTCTGACCGCATGTCGTGGTTTAACCCCAGCTATCAATCAAGAACCACGCAGCCGCTCACACACTCCCCGAACAGCAGGATGGGGTGGAGAATCTGAGGGGTAAAAGCTACAAAAACTCTTTGAGTTGAGATAAAGACAGTTTAATAGAGAAAGCAAAAGCTGAACACACGAGCAAAGCAAAACAGGGAATTAACTCACTGCTTCCCACAGACAGGTGTTCAGCCATCTCCAGGAGAGCAGGGACCATCACACGTAACGGTTCCTTGGGAAGACAGACGCCCTCACTCCAGATGTCCATTCTTCCTCATTCTTCCTCCCACCTTATATACTGAGCATGATGTAATTTGATATGGAATATCCCTTTGGTCAGTTTGGGTTCCCTCTCCCAGCTGTGTCTCCTCCCAATCTCCCATGCACCCCCGACTTTCTTAGCCAGTGTGGCAGTACAGAAAGCAACAAAGGCCCTGGCTCTGTGTTAGCTCTGCTCAGCAGTAACGAAAACATCTCTGCATTATCAACTCTGTGTTCTGCACAAATCCTAAGCATAGCCCCACACTAGCCACTGTGAAGAAAGTTGACTTCGCTTCAGCCCAAAGCAGCACCACCACAGAATAAGCTGGACCAGACATTTGTACTGACAATAAACTAACCTGCAAAGGAAAAAAAATCACCTGGAACTGACTTGCCCTGAATGCAGAAGAGTGTATTTTAGAAGGCAGATATCAGAGACTTGGAGCTGAAGCAGAGCGAATTTGTGCTTCTCTTCCACTGAGCTGTTAAGACATGTATATATAGCTTATATTGTACTCTGTTGGTCCTCCCTTTGGCAGGTGTGGTGAGTAACAAGGGCAGAGTGCCCTGCCTGAGGAAGGCTTTGAAAGATAGCAGTAGCCTGCCATGGCATGTTCTGTGATGCCAGACATAAGTTTTGGAAGTGGTCCATGTAGAGTCTCACCAAGTATTGGTTTTGGCAAACATTTGCTTTTGTGCTGATAAACATGTTGCACAATGTACTGACCTAAAACACCAAATGGTTGGGATCACTTGGAACTTGCAGGATAATTTCTTTCAGTCTTCAGCTTTTAAATTTCATTTAAATACCAGATTTTTCTCATGAAGATACTTTCAGCTTTTTGAGCATTGTCTTCCAAAATATGTCTAAAAATGGAGGCTGTCACATCGTAAGGCTCTTGCAGCATGATTGTAGTAGACTTTGAAATATTTAATGACATGGTTTTGCTTGTGTCTCAGTGCCTTAGTGTCTATAGTATCCACATTGGTCTGTTTGTGATATTTTGTTTGGTTTTCTTTCTTAATCCATTTTTTCTTCTATACTTACTTTTCCCTCTCCATTTTTTTTCAATTTAGGGAACAGCTTGTATGTATTTCAAACGCTTTTACCTCAATAACTCAGTGATGGAGTATCATCCTCGGATAATAATGTGAGTTATCAACACTTCTTGAGTTACTTTATCTAGTGGAACATTGGAAGTATAATCTTTATATTTGTAAAGATCTGAAAACAAAAGAGAAGGAAATCTGAGATCTTAAATAGAAGTAAAGGCAAAATGTGGTTTCACCTTCCGTTTGGAAAAGTTTGCTGTGTTCAGAACATAGTGTTTTGAAGATAGTGTTCTATTCTGAACAGAACTCTTGATAGAAGAATGGATGCTGCATGTGTCAATTGTTTTCTTTTTTGTTTTTTTTTCCTTCCTTAAGGCTGACTTGTGCATTTTTAGCCTGTAAAGTAGATGAATTTAATGTGTCCAGCACACAGTTTGTTGGTAACCTTCGAGAAAGCCCTTTTGGACAGGAAAAAACTCTTGAGCAGATACTGGAATATGAACTGCTGCTTATTCAGCAACTGAACTTCCATCTCATTGTCCACAATCCATACAGGCCATTTGAGGGATTTCTGATTGATTTGAAGGTAATATTGTTTGATGTGCTACATGCTGTGTGTACTAAAGTAACACAAATCTGTCAGAGGTTGTGTTACAAAACTTTGTTTCCTTTTGTGCCTGTGTTCTTAAAAGATCCAGTTTCTGAAGTAATTGACAAATATCGGAAAGATGGTTGTTTTACTTGTGGTCTTTAAGCTTTTGAGGCTATTTTTGGAATAAGAAGACCTCCAAGTTTTTAACTTTTATAAAATATTTTTGAATTATGTGTTCTGAGCTCATGGACAGGATTGAGGAGCAGCCACTTACTTTCCTAAATACCTACTTTTTAGACTCGCTATCCAGTGCTGGAAAATCCTGAAGTTCTGAGGAAAACAGCTGATGACTTCCTTAATCGAGTGGGTCTGACAGATGCATACCTGCTCTTTTCTCCTTCACAGATCGCTCTCACTGCCATATTATCTAGTGGTTCAAGAGCAGGAGTTAATATGGAAAGGTAGTACTTTTTTTATAGGTATGATTTAAACAGGTTATTGTATAAAATTGTTTTGCTCTCGACATTCTTAACTAGCAGAATTGTGGTTGTTAACACTGGTATGTTCTCTAGGTATGATTCAGAATTGCAGTAGTACTGTTTGTTTCATTTTCAGAAAGTAGGTGATAAATGCAATTACTTGGTGTATGTTTTTAATATTCCTTTGAAAGAAGGAAAACAAAATCTGCTAACTTTGCCCTAACTCAAACAGCATAGGATTTTCAGACTCATCTTGCGGATTACAGTGAAGAAGATAGAATACAGTAGAGAGTATGAAACACCTAAAGAATCACTTTAAAAAGTAAGATTTTTAAGGTTACAGAGTCAACTGAAATTGCACTGAACTGACATCTGCCAGGCATGCTGAAACTAAGTGCTGTGTTTGGCTGGTACAGCTGTTCAGTTTCCATGGAAACAAACTGAGGCTAATGTGCTGTTTCAAATTAGTCCTTTCATTCCTTTCTGTGCCCCAGAGACTGGTGGTTCACAGGCATTGCCAGATGCTTTGGTACCTTTGCTGACATGCATGGTTTGTTTGGTTTGGTTCTTTAAAGGGTAAAACACGGTTTTCTTCAGAAGAAACGGCTGAGGTAGTTGCTGTGAGGAGTTGTACCTGGAGTGTTTTAATCGCATGCCACTCCCTGTGAGGATTTTTTATCTGGAGTGTAACACCTGCAGGCACAAGGGCTGATGCAAAATGCAAACAATTCATTTTAAACAAACTCTCCTTCCACCTCTAAATGAATCTCACATCTCTCTTGTTCTAAAAGAGACAGTGTTGAGAGCATCCTCTACAGGGTTCACTGTCCTCTTGTAATTGTGTAAGAATGAACATTCAGGTGCCTACATAACTTGATCTCATTCCTAGATTTATATTCTATACTGCTTGTGCCAAAAGTTTGAAAAGCGTGCTTGCAGAAAGAACTCAAATGATTTGTAGATGGTGTGTCAATCAGGGTATATGAACTCAGTTTGCATGTTCATGAAGAACTCAAGTCTGTGCCACCTGTCTGCACCATACAGTTCTCATAACCTTGTTACTTACTGTTTTATGTGACTTTTTGCTGCTGAACATGAGAGAAGCTAGTCCTGCAACATGAGTCTGTGGAGCTGTTAGCAGGTGCACCTGTGGAGGTGGGACAGAACATAGGAGGTTTGAAAGCCTGTTGCTCCCTTGATGGAAGGGATAAAACTACTTGGTTGTTGTGGATATGGGTGAGGGCTGTTGCTCATGTGTGTTGAGAGTGTATATGTTTGTGTTCTTACTTAAAGAAAGTCTGAGTCCCAGGAGAAAGAGGAAGGGACCCACAGGCCCTTACAAGACAGCATTCAGGCATGGCTTTCAGCTCCTAAAGAAGCAGGCCTGTCTTGCAAGCTCTACTGACAGCTGGTCTGTCTGCAAACTGCTCCTCTGTAGTATTTGCTTGTGCCAGTCATATTGTGTAATAGCATTATGTTGTCACAGAATCTTAAACTTAATTTGACTTATCTCCAATAGGTTTACTTAGAAATGTTCAATTCTGCAGTGTTGGAACTTCCCTTTCATACCTGGCTGGGGAATACTCTTGCCATGTTCTTACAAGTTTTGCTTTATTATCGCTTGGGTCACTTGGGTAACCAAAGTGTTCTTACTTAGTCTAATCATAAAGCTCTAGTAGATGTAAATAGTAAATAATACACTTTTTATTAATTAATATAAGTTCCACCAATAATTATGACACTTAGAGAACTTAATCTTCCATGACTCTTTGCAGCTATTTATCAGAAAGTCTTATGCTGAAAGAAAAGGCATCAACCTTATCCAAGCTATTGGATGACATGAAATGTAAGTAAGCATTGGAAAAGAATGATAAAGAGTATCTGTAAAGGAGGAAAAACATCTTTTTCCACATGACAAAAGCTTTAGGCAGAAAGGTATGCTTCAAGTGGTTTTCTTCACCTCAGAGCATGCATAAAGTAAGTACAACATGGGCAGTGGGATGTACTATCCAGTATGTGGATGGAAGGGGAGAAAACACTGAGAAAAAATAAACAAATTAAAGAAATTAATATGAACAAATCAAACAAATAAATTAAAAGGCAAAGGGCCTGCCTGATGCTTTCAGAACAAGACTACTAGAGTCAATTAAGTGTTAGCATCTGGCTCAAATGTGAGAAATCTATTTTGGGAACTAGATAATGGTTTTTGTAAGACATGATTAAAAGACTTTTAAGTCAGTCTTAAAACATCATCAGGCAAAGCTTGTGCATGACTGTTACTACCACCAGAGGGTGCCTGTTGTGACTGAAATGATTAATGGGAAGTGATACGCTAGGATTTTGTGCAGCTGTAAAGGTGTTCAAAGAGATGCATAGCTTCAATAGTGTGAAAAATGTGTGTGTGTGTATTACAAATACCAAGAATGCTACTGTGGTTTAAGTAAACTAATAAGGAATGTAGTATACTGATTATTACCTTTTTTCCTGAATTAAACAAAAGGGATATGAAATTCCTAGTAAGTAATCAGTTATTTAATGCTTTAAGCTCATGCATGTGTTTAAAATGGAAGTGGTAGCATTAAAATTGTAGTCCTTAACTAGGCTGACTTGAGTATGAATGAACCATACAAGTCACCAGGGTAATTACTTTTACAGAGAACTTGAAAGGTAGCTGTAAATTTAATTTGCATTATTAACAAGACTGAAAGTTATTTTTAAGACTGAAGTACAATTCTGAATGCAAAGAATACCTGTGTATTTTGAAGCTTGTTAGCAGAGTAATGTGAACTCTGCATCATCATAATACACCTTGAGGAAATCCAGAGTCAGTGATGTTTCAGTGTAGTTACAATGAGGAAGGAAGGGATAAATGGTTGGCTGGATCAGCCTGACTGTGAGGGATAACCCAATAACAGCATCTGATTGATCAGCCTATGTAATTCACAAGTGTGGTGGGTTGACCCTGGCTGGCTGCTAGGTGCCCACCAAAGCTGCTCTATCACTGCCCTCTGTAGCTGGGCAAGGTAGAGAAGATATAACAAAAAGGTCATTATTGACGTAAGGGTAGGTTCACCAGTCACTGTCATGGGGAAACAGACTCAACTGGGGGAAATTAGTTTAATTAATTACCAATCAAATCAGAGTAGCGTAATGACAAATGAAAACCAAATCTTAAAACACCTTCCCCCCCCTTCTTCCTGAGCTCAACTTCACTCTCCCTCTAGTGCAGGGGGACAGGCAGTGGGGACTGCATTCAGCTCATGACATGTTTCTGCCATTCCTTCCACCTCAAGGGGAGAACTCACAGTCTTCCCCTGCTCCAGTGTAGGGTTCCTCCCACAGGAGACAGTCCTCTATGAACTTCTCCAACGTGCGTCCTTCCGACGTGCTGCAGTTCTTCATGAACTGCTCCAGCTTGGGTCCCTTCTGTAGGGAGCAGTCCCTCAAGAACAGGCTGCTCCTGTGTGGGTCCCCCATGGGGTCACAAGTCCTGCCAACACACCTGCTCTGGTGTGGGCTCCTTTCCCCACAGGACCTCAGGTTCTGCCAGAAGTCTGTTCCAGCACAGACTTTCCATGGAGGGGAGGCTGTGAAGCCTCCTTTGGGCTCCTCCATGGGCTACAGGTGGATCTCTGCACTCCTGTTGATCTCCATGGTCCACAAGGGGAGAGCTGCTTCACCGTGGTCTGCACCACAGGCTGCAAGGGAATCTGCTTCTGTGCCTGGAGCACCTCCTCCCCCCTCCTTCTGCACTGACCTTGGTGTCTGCATAGTTGTTCCTTTCACATATTGTCATTCCTCTCTCCAGGTGCACAGGGGGTTTTTTTACCCCTTAAATCTGTTATCCCAGAGGTGCATCCACCATCACTGATGGGCTCAGCTTTGCTGCAGTGATGGGTCTCTTGGAACTGGCATTGGCCCTGTCATACATGGGGAAGCGTCCAGCAGCTTCCCACAGAAGGTGCCCCAGTAGCCCCCACACTACCAACACCTTGCCATGCAGACTCAACACAACAAGGTAGAGCAGACATTATCTATGTGCTTAGAGCTGTGTTGTTGCCATTGTAGGCATGAAAAATCTCATAAAGAAATATGAACTGCCAAGGCCTGAAGAAGCTGCTGCTCTGAAACAGAAATTAGAGAAGTGCCACAGCTTGGAGCTTTCACTTAATACAAACCTGTAAGTAGGTCTTCAGCGTGTTAAACTTCTTTTTCTTGATATAGAAACATTACTTTTTTCTGACGTGAGTGATTGAAAATAAAACCCCCCAAATGTGTACACAGTGCATGTTTGCTCTGAGTGTCTGCTGAAAGCTGAGAACCAAGACTCAGAGTAGTGCTTTCAGTGGTAGATAAGTATGTTCTTTGGGGTTGATGAGCGCTGGAAGATTTTCTAACACAGAACTGGAATCCTCTGTCGCTTCTAAGGTCTGGCTGCTTGAAGTTGCATGTAACAAGAATCAAGGGCTTTAAAATTGAATGATTAAAACAAGTTTGTGTAAAGGGTTAATGTTTTCTTGCGAATTATGAGATCGCAAAGGACTGATTTTTCTGCCCTCTTCAGAACACACACAAGCTGCTAGTTGAGGTTAGTTAGTAGGGTTTTTTTATGTAACAAGTATGTCCATAATCTAATTTTGTGGTCAAATAAAGCAAGTCAAACTTAGAAAAATATGTAAACATTTCAGTTTTATTCTGGGGTAGGAAGAAGAGGAAAGGTTATGAAGATGATGAATACATTGCAAAGAAGACTAAAATGGATGAGGTCAGTAAACCTATCGTACAGGTACTTGGTTTTCCATGCCTAACTGCCAAGACAAAAGTGACATCGCTACTGAGACAAAGTTCTGCATCTCTAATATTCCTTTACTTGTTGCTCAGAGTGAATAATTTTCAACTTTAATTTTTGTCTGTTTAAATGAGCCAGATTTCATACTAGCCTGTGCTTGGAAATGTTCTTAAACAGCTCGGTCTTCTGTGGGGAAGGGGAAGAACATGCAGGCCATCCTTCCAGTTCCTTGTGCTTTGGAAGTTTTTACTTTATTTGACTTCCTGTTCAAAGCAGACATCAGCTGCTGGACTAAATTTCTACATCAGCCAGTTTGCTGGCAAGGCTTGCATGAATTACAGACGGGTAGCTAGTACCTCGGGTTACAAACCAAGTATAAGTAAGGTGGAGGAGGGTGACTCAACAAATGAAAAGAGAATTAAGGTAGTCCTTCAGATCTGAACACCTTCCAGAGTTTTTGTTTGTAACATGGACTGGAAGTTGTAGACTGCCTCCATTCTGGTGGAAGCAAAGCACCCTTTTTAACTAGACTTCTTGATACTAAAGACATTGTACATCCTGATAGTCAAAGATACTCATAAGTATGTGGCATTTAGACAAACCTGCTAACAGCTGAAGAAAGTCATCTGTCAAAATCTTAAGATAAAATGCAAGACGCCTTTTTGTAATTCAAGGAGTATTGCTGTTCCAGGTTAATGCTATAGTGTCAAACTGGAATCTAAAAAATTATTTAAATATGATTACAATAAAATCAGCATTGAAGGTATATTCTAACAAAACATGGAACCTTGAACACATAACTGTTTAATGCTGTGAAAACTGTGACTAGTGTTTATTCTAAATTCCAGTCTTGAAAAGCTTATTGAAGCTGGCAAATCCTCAAAATTTAGGACTTTCTGACAAATGATTTAGGGAACAGCTCCAAATGAGCTCTGGAGGTAGACTAGTTCTCTACCCCAGTTTAATTTGAAGGAATCTTACTTATGCTGCTATGGTTTGAGGCAGTTTTGATTTTGGGCCTTCTTACTAATTCATGTTTACACTTTTTCCAAATAGCCTGAGTGGTTAAATTCACATAGGCTAAAGCATTTCATAATAGGCTCTTGCACAGTTCCAACAGGTCCCTGAAACTCAGGATTTTTCATTATTGATGTATCTGAACTGCCAAGGGTTTCTGCTTGCATAGTTTTGCTTCCAAGTAATTTACTGTCTGCAAGAGCAGATCTGAGCTGCCCAGAACGTACAGGAGGAAGTGCACATAACTTTCTGAAAGCTTAGTGTGTGCAAAATGTTCAAACTTGAGGCCTCACTAATCTTGTAGTTAGCTGATATTAATGATATTCTGTATCTGTAAGTGAGATTAGACTAGTATACTGTTGGTTCTAGTCTGTTTCTAAGATGATGTTTCTTGATTTGTTTGCAGCTGAAGGTTAGTATCATTAGCAAAGCCAGAGCTCATATGGAGAGCTCATCAGTTTGAAATGATAGAAGAAACATAAAAGGTAATGGTTGAGCACAGGTGACTCAGCTGCCAGCGTGACGAGCCACAAAAGCACAAGGTATTAGTAAAAGGTTGCAGTATGAGCTGTTCTGGAAATCTCCAGAGTTGTTTTAAATAAAAAAGCATGAGCTAAACCCCAGACAGGTGCTGAAAAGGGGCTGCTAACACGACTTGTGTCTCCATGACTAAGAGTAGGTATGGATAACTAGCTTTAAGGTTAAACGGCTGACTTGCTGCAAGTTAAAGTATTTTTTCAGTCTTTCTTCTGTTCATGGAATCCTTCAGTGAGATACTAAATCCTGACCATAGAGAGCACAGCACAATGTGTGCACACATCCCTCAAGGTATTGTGTTTTTCCCTTGCATTAGGAAGAGTGGACTGATGATGATCTTGTGGACTGATGATGATCTTGTGGACTTGCTGTTACCTTGAAGGAAGATGAAACTCCTACTACTGCAGGAACTACTTTTCACTGTTAAGTGTCTCTGTTAGAGAATTGAGACTGAAGGATTGTCCTCTGAGATGTAGTAGAATACATGCCTACCAGGGATAGGTCAAGCGGTGGTTTTATGGGCAATCTAAAATCAAGGTCACTACCTCTGTCTGCTGAGTGTCCTACATGTGATGCTTGGGAGCTCTCAGCTACTGTACTGGTCTCTCACCTTCAAGAAAGCTGTTCCAGCTGGGGACCAGGGCAGCACAGCAGGAGCCACTGTAATTAATACTACAGTAAAGACCCAAAAGCAACGTGTGTGTGATTTCTTGTGACAGTGAATTGAAAAAGCAGTTCTGATAGACAGGAGAAGCAGTGTAGGTGCAAACAATAGGGTCCACACGATAATCAATTAAATAATTTTTCTCATTAGTCTCGCCCATGAATCTCAGCATCCTTTTATTCCCTATTATTAGTACACTGCCTAGAAAAGTGACATAGCAATGCTATTGTGTGGATTCATGCTGAAAACGTTACATAGTGTGAACATTTCGAAGCATATGGAGTGCTGTAAAAAATTCCCACAGCAGCTAAAGTAGGCCAGTTTCCAGAGTTGAGATGCAGCTTGATTTATTTTAAAAACTTACTTTTCTTATAAAAATATTTATGCTACACTTACAGTACAACAAAAGACCAACAAATACCTATTTTATAAAATGGTTTAATGAATGCATGCATGTTTGATACAATGATCAATAAATTTACTGAATTAAAATTATTTACTGTTGTAAACATTTTACAAAAGCATTGTGATTTATCTGGATATACCGTTCTTGACAGAAGAACTATTCAGACTGAATCAGTGGCACATCAAAAAAATAAAGCTGACAAGACCCATTCTGCATATTCTCTTTCAACATGATTCCAGCAGGAGAAACAGCATGGTATAAAAAGTGTACAGTAACGATTGTTCCTACAATAACATCAAATTCTGGAAACTGTAAATACAAGTTAAAAGTGGTTGAAACAGTCAAAAGTTGTAATTATTGTAACCAGTAAGAAATGTTATCCAGTTTATAGGTGGCTGTCTGAACAACGCATTTCTTCTCAATGTCAGTTGATAAATCTTTTCCAACCAGACAGCGAAAACTTTGGCAATCAGAGGTGCTGAAAATAATTTTCAAAGTCCAAGACACAGTCACAGCATTTTCTCTGTGGAAGGTGAACTGTACACCAAGGCTCAGAGGTTGTGAAAACTGTTTCCAAGTGGAAAAAAAAAAGTGCAAATGTCCTGCACAGATAGCTTAAAAAAACTGCTGGTACAATCATTCACCAACAGGATCTTTGATTTCTTTTTGCATAGTTCACACATCACTGGGAATGTGACAGGGTGTGCTATTTTTGGCAAGAGCAAGAAGAAAGTGATACTGGTGTGAGTTGCCATGTCGGGCATGCTGGATCCATGCAGAACTCAGGTAGAGGGCTGCTACCTGATGTTGTTAGACACCGAATACTGATTTTGTTTTTGTTGTAGCAGTTCAGTAATGGCCAAAAGCTTCTTAAGAACATGCTGAGGAGAGTCAGTAAAACCACACATTAGCTACTGGAAACAGAACAGTCCTCCCCAAGAAGCACTTTCAGCATCAGCCTATCAGACGTGTGATTTGGTAACAAATACATTTTAAATACATAAAATGTCTGATTCCTTGGTCAATAAAACGAGGTCTAAAACAGCATTGTGAACTTTGCCTCTCCTCCCAGGGATGTTCTTGCTGCTCTGCAGTTTAATAGGGAGGCAGAGAAAGCCTAGAGCTAGCACACTGCTGGGGGTTGCTAGCAGAGTCTGCCGTGTATACAAGTGTATGGGCAAACTAGGAAGCAGAAAGGAGTATTACAGAAAGCTAAAGAAAACAAATTTAGTTCTCAACTGAAAAAATAAGATCTGAAAACTAATGACTGAGAGAGCCTGTCAGGAGACTAATTTTGTGGGTTTAAGGCTTCCTCTAGAAACGAAACTTCCTCTGGAAACTAAATACCTATTTGTTGCATGAAGAAACAAAACTATTTACTAAGTATTTACCTTCACAGCTAACTTTCCTGGTGAAATAGACACATTTTAAAATAAACATCAGTCACACTGCCACAGAAATAGTACAAGAGAATCCCAGTACTGAGGAGGAACTCAGGACACAGCAGCTATACCAGTGATCTGTGCTAACATACCTGCATCACACCTCGCTCATTGCTGAGCGTCCGGAGCTCATCCGAGTGTGCCACACAGATCTCGTGCAGAGCTGCCAGGTCACGGGACAGGTCAGTGCGAGAGTGCTCTGTAGTGTCTGGAAGCTCAGGGACATTCTTGAACAGAATAGAACAGAGCAGATTTAGGATGCCTAGACCAATTTTGGTCATTCCAGCTAAACCTCCAGTTCATCTTTCTATTACAAATTACGTATTTCCTCCTCTCCACAGACATGTATTTTGTGAGTGTACTGCAATTTCTATTCCTGCTAGCAGGTTCTTGACTACAAGATCTGGTATTACTACACTACCACTGAGCTGACCAGAAAGCTACAGCATATGGAGACTTGAAAATTGTGAATCCACCCACAAGATTTATTTTTTAAGCTACATGAGAGAACAGCAGCAACAAAGATTCAGCAAAATACGTACCTGTCAAGTAACTCATTAAACTGGCCATAAACCAATCATGTTCCAATTAAAGTAGTAGATTAATCCAAGAACTATTTTCGTACCAACAGTTATCAGAGACTTCTGATTTATCATAATATGCAGAAGTTGCAGTTTAAACAGAAAAAGATGGCATATAAAACCTACTTGAATGCCACACTTATTTTTACATCTTACTAAAATGTTCTGAGATGTCTTCTAGGTCATGTTTTAGGGATTAATTCAGGACGCTTAGCACACGTTCTTCATCTTGGTTTTAAAAATTAATTATTGGCTTTAAAATATGTATATAATATATCTCCTGTTACAGCTATCACACACAAAACAGTCACAGTTAAAAAGAATACAGTGACTGCAGTTCACTGTCAAAATACAATATATAGAATGTTTGCAGTGACACGTTTGATAATGCTAACTGAAATTCAACCTACCATTTTTTAGAGCAAAAAATAATTTCAGTCTCTGCTCAAAACCATGTGACAAATTATATATAATATTTTTTTTTGTTTAAAACATGTTTTTAAAGGTTTGTATTGTTGGCCAAGATATCTAATCTCATAGCTATGAAATCTCTTTGAGCTTCTTATATCTACAGAGGTCCTAAATTAAGAAAGTCTAAGAAAATATTTGATAGTTTTAATTCCATATGACAGACCAATAATCTGCAGTTTCTAAACATGCATAATTCAGTTACAAGCATTCAAAATTGTGTGGGAGCTGATGCATTTCTGAGCTAGTTAAGATGTGTAAGGAATTTTAACTTAAAATGCTGTTCTGTAACCAGTAAATCTTTTTTTACCCACTTACCCCAAGTTCATCCAAGAACATGATCATGCGATGTTTGTTGCTCTTGATGAATGGATTTACCCCTTCCATATATGGCTCCTAGTAATTTTAAAAAGTATGCATTAGAACAAACCAATGCCAAGACAATTTTCAGACCTGAAGCAAACACAGTACAGTCAGGCAAATGACACTGCTAAACAAATATGTAAATTGAAATGTTATCTTGGTTTTGGTGAATTTCTAATGTCTCGTGCTCAGCCAGTCAAGACTATGGCATCTGTTATTTTCGTGTATTCAGAAGATTGAGCATCCCCGATTCAGGATTTTTCTTACACATGCATACTGGTATGAACTTGCATGAAGATGAGTGTGTCTCTATACCTGGCTGCAATGAATGGATGGTCTACTTTCAGAGGTATGATCAGGAAAAAGTGCCCTCTTTCTTGTTTTTCATTAACTGTTACATTCCCAAGTTCTGTGTGTCAGAGAAATCACTTTATAATGCCAACCTGAAGTCATGCTCATTATGTTTAAGTCAACAGACTTATTTTTAGCAATGTTTCAAGCCTGGGAACTCAGGCAGACCAGTTACTGCTGGCATTCTCTTACTGTTATAATAGAAACTTCATTGAAAGCTTGGCCTTTTTACTGCAGTAGTTAGTACACTTGACTTACAGCACTAATTATATCTAGCAGTATGATAGTGAGTACCAATAGAAGTAGATCTTTGAAGTGCTCTACCACAGAAAACACCAATCTAAGGAGTGATAAATGCAGGATCAAAGTAGGGGAGGAGAAAGAGAGGTTCTGCATGAGAGAACTGCAACAGATGTCTGCATGTATTACACAGGAACATGTAAAAATTTACTGGAAACGTAGTTCTAGGTTGCTCTCTGTGTGCAAAATTATGTTCACCTTAGCTCCAAATTCAACCAGATTTGCTAAGTTCTGCACAGACTTGGCGACCAGCGTCAGTGTTCTTGCAGCAGTAGGGGAAGGAGAATCTGGCAGG